AAACGACCCAACCACATACAAAATAAACATTAGGGTGGGGAGAAAAAAAGACGGTTGGCAAACTGGAACCACAGGTTATTTTCTGTCAGGCTTAATATAAAAGTCCCAGAAAATGACTAAAAAGCTCAAAATCTCATGCAAAATTCCTTTCAAAATCAAATTTGAAAAAAATCTCAAAATCTCTGCTTATATCTAAGGATTTTGAAATCGCAACATTCCTGGTACACTATTTTGAGAGTAATGAATCCACTTCAACCTCGTAATATTATATTGAATTTATATTCAAATTTCGTATGCAAGTAAAATAAATGCAATTCGATGTATAATGTACAACATTTAGTCTCTTTTGAGTGCTATAAATATTTAGTTGAGTTAACCAAACAATCTCGAACAAAGACAGATTTACGAAGGGCCTTCCCTTCAAAACTTTCATGAGGTAATGAGATCCTTATACGCAAGCCCGTGAAACTCTGCATTCGAGATATTACTGGCTAATTTCTCTTTCTATACGGTGGAAATTGACCGGATCCAGCCAGGAAGCACAATGTTTAACGACTGTCACAAAATAGTTTTGGGTTTTTCTAGATGGAAAATGCGAGTGTAAATTGTATATATTTATTAGACCTAACAATGCCCAGGAGCAGTTTCGAAAATAATGCAAGTATAAGACCTCTGGCAGAAATCGATTCGGAATTTCCACAGCTCGACTAATTTTCCATCTATAAAAACACTTCGACTATTATTGCTATCGAGTGAGATGCCCCAAACCCTGCATGATGTCACAAACTAGTACTGGTGGCAATAATGATGGCCGTGGAAAACCGGCAAAATACCAAACATTCGTCCTAAATATAGAAGTTCTACACGAAAGTCTTTCGGTCCCACGAAATGTTGAAGTTCTTTTCACTGAAGTAGCTATTTACAAAAAATATAAACTCCTTCAGTCAAGCTTGGGATGTCATAGCCTGAGTATGCCCGTTCGCAGGTTAGGTGCTGGGCATGCCCATAGATATCTTATATACACTAGATAGTGCATCTAATTATTCTGCAATTCAAAAATTGAAGCCGTGATTGCAGTCTCAGGTCGTTCCCATGAAATGAGAAGATTCGTATGTTTTCTATTTCTTAAACAGGGAACTTAAACATCAAGTTAACCCTATTCCAAAATACGTTTTTAAACTATTCAAATGATGAAATTTATTGTTGTTTTTAAGCGTTTATTAGCAAGTGGGAACGACCAACATGGCCGCCATCTATTCAAATGGGGGTAACCGCTGAAATATTATTGGCTTCAATTTTACTAAGAGAGATGCGCTATCTAGTGTATATAAGATATCTATGGGCATGCCCTGCAAACGAGCAAACTCTGGCTATGCCGAGATTGCCAAAGTCGTAATTATTCTTTACCACTCCCTACATTTGAAGCCAACAAGATATTATAATAATTTCTCTATCGATAATGTATATTAAAAGTTCATCCGCTGAAACTGTGGCTTAGCCATCAATTCATCCGTTTAAACACTCCTCTCATCCGTTCAGTACCGCTACCAATAATGGTGAACCAGTTTGAACAATAAACCACCAAATAAAGAAGGACAAAAAGGCAGTGGAAGCGGAACTGTGTTTTAGCGGGGGGCTAATTTTCAGTTAAGTTGGATACCGTAGTTTTTAGCTAAATTAAAACACGACACGCAAAATATGATTCAACTGTCCCAGAAAGATATTTAAAAATAGGAGGGCTGAAAAGTAGGGGGTCCGAAAGGCATGTACTTTCTGGCACCGATTTGAAAACTTTGGACGACAAGAAAAAAAGCAAAAAATAATTGCTTCATAATTGGTTTTGGTCTGTTTGTGTGACTTGGTGGGGGCTAAAATCGCTGGCAAATTAGCATAGTACGTCGAACTACCTGACGATCAAAAAACCTGACTAAACATTAAAATTATCTCAACATAAAAATCATGACAAAATACATTATGCCGAGACGGACAGGCCCAGCAAATTGCCCGATATTTAGGTATATCTTTAAATTCCCCAAGAGTCTCTATGATAACTCATTGTAATGTCAGTGTGAAATATGAGCGTGCAGTATCGGTATTATAGTTGGTCGTATTCGACATAGAACAATAACAGGCATAGTCTAAATATTGGCGAGCATATAACTGGAACTGCGCATCTGGATATTCTGGGTAATTAGCAGGTACACACCCTGCCTGATATTTAGAAACACTCCCAAAATCTTAAATCCTAGCTAAGACCTTGAACTCAACATTCAAGATATTATTACAATTTATAATGTTGAAATGGATTCGCTTATAGTTAGAGAGCACTGGTACCATTAATGGTCAACCAGCCAGAACCTGCAAAATTCCAAACAATCCTAAGCATAAAAGACTTACATCATGAAAAAGAAATTATTCGATGCTTATTCCTCTTGGGTCAAGCACAAGTTTTCGACTTCTTTTAAAACAATTTGAGGACATTAAAAGCGAGAAAATTAAAATGATATTCGCAAGAGTCCTATGTGTTGTGTTGCTTTTGTACTCGGCAAGTTTCGGCGACAGTCTAAGCCTGAAAAACGATACCCATTTGGAAGAAAGGACGGTTATAAACTTGCCACTGCCGCCTCATTTTGAACAAAATGCAAACGATCTTGTGCTGCGGACTAAAAAAATGATTGTTAAACGTAAGTTGTACTAAGATGTATTTACTTTGTATTTTATTGTATTTAAAGTTACTCAAAAAAATAATGACCAAGCGTAACTGATGCAGAATGCGAAACGTAAGTGCTACTATAAGGTATATTTAATGTGCATTTTACTTTACTTCATCTGGAGACTAGGATGTTTTTAATTAGGAATCACTATAATGCTAATGTCGTATTAGAGTATATATAATATAGTTGGCTGGGATAGCTGTGTTACCAGTTCAGTGTGTTTCGTATCCATGACTTACGATGATACCTATCCTATCCTAAGTTGAGTTTGTACCTCACCAGAGAAGAGTTTTTAAGGCTAGTATATTTCGTGGGCAAAATGTGAATAAAAACTAATGTAAGCAGGTTGCTTAGGCAAAAGTTGTGTAGTTTTAGAAAACTACATTCTGGCCATACATCCTGTAGACACCATGCACTATAGATGACGCTAACAACTACATTGACATTGACATTTAAATATTTGGCAACCAGTTACAAAATTACAAATTTACACGTATTCCTTTCTTCACTCCTTCAGCTATGAAATTGATGTGACATTTTAAATGAACTAATGATTTCCGACAAGGTTTGCAGTATGTCGGAAGCAAACAGCTTTTAGGCGTGGTATGGCAGTGAGCTATAGGCCTATATATAAATGAGAATATAAGATTAGAAGACAAACTTGAATTACTTCATATGAACTTTATTTCACTACAAATTTGTTGCGTATGACAAGACGAGTCTTGCCACACTCATCAGGTGAATTTAAAGTGCCCCTGTCACAAAATGAGAGTTTACATCATTAGAATCGTCGTGAACCGTAGATTATGAAAATACAAAACAGATTTAAAATTGAACTTGTTTTCACCCATAATAAGGCAATGAAATTTGAAAATTTCAAATTTTAACGGCAAAAGTTTTTGAAAACCGCGAAGCTGGGAAATTGGTAACTAATACGTCATAGTAGGAAGACATTGCCTTCTCGCCCAAGATACAAATGTCTTCGTCGAGCTCAGATACGGAAAATAACAGTTACCAAAGCGATGCCTGACTGAAATTATATTCTATATATAAATATAACTATATAATAGTTTTGTTTGTGGAAACACCACGTAAATTTATTACTGCAAAGCTTTCGATCCGTAAGCCTGGATCTTCATCAGTGCTAATAATATGCGATGAAGATCTGGGCTTACGGATCGAAAGCTTTGCAGTATACGTAATAAATTTACGTGGTGTTTCCATGCACAAACAAAACTATTATATATTTTATCGCCATGCAATCATATACAAAGAACTTATATACAAATATAACTAGTTCTTTAACCAACCTACAGCAGTGATTACAAAGCATGTGTTGAAAATTATTCTAATGTATATATTAATTCCTTCTCTGATACCAGTTTCACTATTTTATACACATATCTAGCCCATGCTGAAGATTGCAGAGGTTTTTTATTATACACGTTACGAGAGGTTTGGGGTGTAAAGCCTTATAATGTTCTCGATGTTGCTAATACTAATAGTTTGGTAAGCAATGCCAAGGGGTTGTACTTCTTTTTCTGGTCGGTCTACAAAGACGTGGGCCACGCGGACGATATTAAAAAACAAAGTGAAATCTACCCGTTGTATGTGGGTATAACCGGACGAACGTTTCGAGAGCGCTTCAAAGAGCACATCAATTACGACAACGGAGTAGTGAATAAGATTTCTACATCTAAAGAATGGCCGACAGAGGGAATGAAAAACTTACCACTGATCGTTGCCTACGTCCTCGACATCCAGCTACCTGTGGCTAAGTTTTACGAGTCGGTGTTCTTGAACTCGTTTAATTTTGCCATGAATAGGGCGGAAAACGAGGGAAGACGTCCAGGAATCGAGGTCACGACGCCGCAGTCAGTTGACAAAGGGTATGAACACTTTATAAAAGGATACGAGATTACCATGTCGTATTTCAACGGTCTCCATGATAAAGTATCAAAAATGAATAACGAGGATAAAGGGAAAATAAACTATGAGTTTAAATATTGAATATCTTAGCAGACACTTAGAAGGTAGAGGCAGTGACACCTTTTACAACTTTTACATACTTTTCCTTGCTTTAGAAACGATTTTTCTGTAATATTTAATTACGTAAATGAGATGAAAATCATTGTCAATTTTAAAGAAATGCTAAATAAAACATAATCCAAAAATGACACCAAGATGTGAGTCAAATTGAAGACAAAACTGAGTTTTTACTGCGCATACCTGGCGGCCATGTTCTTAGCAAGTGCCCTAAAGAGAGGCATTCAACCCCCTGGAACATTAAATTTCAATATATTTTCAGGGGGGTGACGGTCTCTCTTTTGGGCACGGACTGAAAAAATCAGTGAAAAAATCAGTGAAATGAATCACGTTTAACCGTGAATGAATATAACTGGAACGCTACCTCCACCCGGAAATTTGAAGCCAAACTCGAAGGCCAGTCCCAGTCGTTTCACGCATGGGAAGAGCGCTCAATCAGTCAATCATGATATAAACACGCATGTCTGGGGGTCAGATTTTGGCTTCAAGAAAATATAGGCAGTTTATCCTCCAGTTATATTCATTTCAATGAAAAAAATTATTACGCTAAATCAACTTGAAGTGGGACCTCTGTATGTAAGTACTCTGTGGTAATACGACTCGTGTCAATAAGGGACCGGTCATAAAGTAACTGCTAGGGTGGGCTGGAGTGATTTGGGATGGGCCATGGAAAATCTTTGGGCAGTTTTGATGGGCCGCCAATTTTTTTGTTTGTCCACGGTTGGGCCACCAAACAAAAACCCATGTCTACTTCAAAAAATAAAGATAATAATAGAAGTAAACAAAACTATCCTAATTATCAAATGCAAGTGATGTTAATGCAAGTGTTTATACAACAACAAGTGGTCGAATCACAGCAAATACAACCAACTGGAGAGCAGCTCAGTATCATAATTGGTGATGAATGTGTTGGTCAAGCTTGGTGGAATTATGTATGTCATTACTGTGCCGTGTATATTTACAATGTTCATACCTGCAAGTTTTTCTTATTATTAAAGTGTATTTTCCCAATTTAGATTGGGTGGGTCATGAAAAATTTTTTGTAAGATTAGATGGGCTTTGAAATTTTTATCTACATCCTAAGATGGGTCACCGAACTTATTGGCAAAATTTGTGATTTACCTCCAGCCCACCCTAGCAGTTAATTTATGACCAGTCCCTAACGGTTAGGGTTAAGGCCGTTTTCCATTATGGCGACTTTGCCTGCAAGTCATGTGTACCTACTGAATGTATACAAAATCTCATACATACAGTTATATCAGCCTAGTCCCAGGCTCTCTCTCTATTCGCTGCTTTGATATATTTAAATAAGTCTTACAAGTTTTATGCCTGGGTGTGCTGTGCGGAACGCTTCAGCGAGAGAGCCTAGCAGATTTCGGTAAAATGGTCCCTGATTTCAAAAAAGTGGTCCCTGGC